TTCATGAGGTGACAACCACTACAATAAAGTACAAGGCATTTGGAGCAACTTTTAAAATAAAAAAAAAACTTGATTGGAGAAAGCTCAAAGTTGATACACAACATAAGAACATGTATAATTTTGTATCAGAAAAAAATCATAAATCCTCTCCTTGTACTTTTTGTCAAAATATTCAATGCTACTATACAGGATCCTTTGGCCAAATTTTTGAGAAACTTGACAATACACTGAAAAGAAGGTACAAGAACTTATGCCAAAATCCTGTGGGAAACCCTGCACTCATTCAGTCACACAATAATACTCTTACCCATTGAAGGGATCAGGTAATTAAATTGTAGCCCAATGGAGCTAGTCTCTTTGATGGATTGTTCCTCTAAGGATGTGACTCTCTCCTGTAGTTGTGACTTCTCCTTCATTAGTTTGGTTGTATACAATTCATTATCAGACACTTCAGTTCTAAGGTCTATAAATTTATAGAATGTTAATAATTATTATTAATTGATAATGATACACTAACCAGTAATGATCTGTTTCTCGTTCTGTGATTGTTCCTCCTTCTCTCCCAATAGTTCACTTAAATCAGCAATTTTGACTTTAAGTTTCTCATAATCTTCTACATTAATAGAATATTTTCTCATCTAATATTATGTACTGATGATACACTAACCAGTAATAATCTGTTTCTCTTCAATCAACTTTTCCTGTTCTTGTCTCATCTCTTCTAATACACTGCTCATAATATCATTATAATCATCACCTTTAACTGAATAATAATATAAAAGAACAGAGTAATCAGTACATGCATAATAACACAACAGAATATACAGATACTACATACACACCAAAGACTGGTTCAACCAATGTACAAAGCATTAGATAATGATATTCAATATTATTTGCTGCCTATACAATTTGCCTTGCATGTACAGTAGCCCATAAAAACTATGATTATTGCTAATGATACCATATATGGTAAGCAGAGGTCACTGTACATTAATCTCAATATTTATAATGCATGGACAATTTGACCTACATGTATATTTAATACAGGATACTATTCCCATACTCAACATTGTCAAATCCACTAGTATCACAATGTAAACAGTACTAATACACACACACTCACACTACCAATAACCACACAATAGCACATAATAGTAATCAGTTAGTATACATGTGATAATGGTGCTTTGACATTTATGCATTCGTGTACATGTACACGTAACTACAATATTCTGTTATTATTATTATTACTATGCATTCATTGTTGTTGTACATATGTTATGTATTCATCATTATGCATGTATTATTATTGTTACTATTATTATTCTCATTATTATTATTATTCTTATTGTTACTTGTGTTATCCTTATTGTGGCCATTATTATTTCTATTTATAGGCAGACTGTCAATATGACATCATATGATGTATTATGATTTTTAGCATATAAGTGCATGCTTTTACTGTATTTGTTGTTCATTCGTTCGTTCATTCATTTCTTCTTCCTTCTACTTCATTATTTCCATTCTCATTTAAAGTCCTCTTTGAACCTAGCGAGTTTCACATTACTGAGATATGCGTGCTGTGCTTCATACACCCTTTTGTGTTCTACTTCAACTACTGGTTGCTATACAATTCCATTCCCGGTTCCCAACATTACAATACATTTAGCTAAAGTCTGTGTGAAGTATCCTATATACCTTGTTTATTGGCCTCAACCAGTGCCTCCTGTAGTGATACTTTGCTCTGATGAGCCACTTGTAGGTCTTCATGTAAAGATTGTATATATCTCTGAAGCTTCATTTCCCTCTCTGTGGGATATTCTATTAGCTGATCTATCCACCATGTTCTGGTCTTGCTGTACAATTGATACTTTTCTTGATAGTTCTTATTAGTGAGATCATTACCATCCAGTACTGACTGTACTATCCACTCACCAGCTTCACTATATACTGAGAGACAATAAGATACATTATATATTTATAAATAAATGTATTTAATTTATAACTAATGATATCATTTATTGTAGTTGTAAATGTACGTCATATTAGGAACTGAAATTTACAAAAAATGTACATACATGTACTATAGAAATCAAACTGACATTAATGTAATTATGTAGTTAATGCTCATATCCTTACAATTGATTAATACTAGAACAAAAAAATTTAAAAAATTATTTTGTGTAGGGTTGAGCCTCTGTTGGATTTGAACCTATGAAATGAATTCAAACAAGCCCCTGTAGGGTTGCTGGTTTGAAAGTATAAAAGGAATTCAAACAAGCCCCTGTAGGGTTGCATCACCATTGAAACACCAACATGTCAACCCTACACTGCGGGTATATTTGTCCAATCATCGTCATTACTCTAGGCAATAGGCATGCACAAAATTTACTATAATGCTCATTCAAACATTTAATTGCCA